AGGTTTCTTCCTAAATGAGATCAACAATCATTCTTTTAAGGATTTTTATTTTTATTTTTATCACAAATATATTACTCAATATCTAAGTAATCTTTAAAAATCTGTATACTCATTACTATAAAGCATACATGCAAAACGCGTACAATAAAAACTAATTTTTAAAAAATAGGGGGAAGGAGAAGGGATGAACAGAACCCTCATTAATAAAGCAAAAATTTAAATATCCAACAAATTGAACTGTTAAGATTATAAAAAAAAAAGAAAAAAAGAACTTCATTGTCGAAGTAAGTCAAAGTATCACTAGCCGTAAAAATTTCGGCACCTTTTAAAAGAATGATAAATATACTAGGGAAAGCCTAAAACCTCTTGGTATTAATAACTATAGTTTAGAAATTAGGCAAAGCCGCTACTAGGGTAGTTAATTATTGGTTCTGTTTATATTTATATCATTCGTTTTGTTGATAATGATGAGCAACGTTCCATTACATGAAGAAACCACGTCAATGTTTATTCCCTCATTCGTTTTCTAAATTTATTCGAGATGTGAGTAAACCTCCCCCCACCCCCACACACCCCCTTTTTTTTTTTGCTGTTAAAGTTTCGACAATAAGAACGTTCAGAGTTTCTTGAACTTCTGTTTTATCTGCAGAAATTATAAATTGGAGTCAACCACTGCATCCCAAATTGATGCAGACTTTATCTGAATAATTAATCAGTATATAATTATAATATCTATTTTCTATGTTTCTAATTTATGTGACACATTTCTTATCCGTTAGTTTAAAAAAAATGATAAATTTATATATTTCAGAATAATTTAACTTTAAATTTTTTTATTTTATCCATTTTACCTTTAATGAGAAACTTTTGTAACCATACAAATGTTATAGAATATATTTAGAACAACAAGTTTCAAATATTTTATAGTCACATAAATTTAACACACAAATATTAGAGCAAATTTCAAACTACTTCACATAAATTGAAACAGAGGGAAAAATAATACTCCCTCCGTTCCCTTTTACTTGGCACGTTTTGACTTTTTACGCCCCTTAAGAAATAATAAATGAAGTGCATAATTTACCATGATACCCATATTAATTGATGTATATTTTATTGGATTTGAAAAATGATTTGAAATGAGTAATAAATATCGTGGGTATAACAAAAAAAAAAATTATCTTCTCTTGATATGCGTAAAGTGACAAGCAAAAATGAAAATCTATTTTTAGTATACATGCCAAATAAAAGTGAACGGTAAAAATGAACGGAGGGAGTATATATTATTACTACTAAAACGGGAAACTGGGCATGCTAAGTTTTTCATTGCTATTTCAAGTTCCGATTAATAGCCATAATATAATGTTTTCTAGAAACAAAGAACAACGCCAAGATAAATTTTCCCAAAAAGTAGCACAAATGTAACAAATTCTTACCTCAAATTTTAATCTAAACACATAAATTTTCTTTATAATTGTTTCTTAAAAACTTAAACTAAATTCAAATGCCAACAAGTTTAAATGAGCAAGGAAGTATTTTCAGTTTCTATTTCTTGAATTTAATAAGAATGGAAATATTTTCCGTTTGTTTACTGGGTTCTGTCTAGTCTAGCTTAAGACGAAAATTGTCTTGTTTTAAGTTTTACAAACCGTAAGGGGTGGTAATTCAATTTTCAATTGTAGTATGAGCAATTAATTCCAACACAAAATCTCACGTGAAATAATATACTCTAGTGTTTGTTTGGCGTACGAAAAAGAAAGTCTACATAATTAATGCAGCGTTCCATAGTTGATATTAAAATAATACCCGTAATAAATTATATAAAACTTTATGTGTTATTCTTTTGATAAAACAGCAACCAGACACACCAGGGGCTACTTTGGTCATTTTCTCTCCAATAAAAACCCTTGTTTCACCAGCTTTGTAGGTGTTCGAATTCACCAAAGCGAACATTCCATTAACTCCGATCCACTCTCTTTTCTTAGGGAAAAGAATAATGGCTTCTCTCTCTGTAAATTCTATAATTTCCCTGAGCACTTCCCTTTCATTACATTCTAAAAACCCACTTATTCACAGTGTCTTCAGTTTCACGCCTTCAACCACAAGGCATTCAGCTATATGCTGCTCAAATATTCGTCGGCGGCCGGAGTATAAACATGGAAAATTCTCTGACCCTGATTATGTTGGTATTTTTGACACCAGTCTTCGCGATGGCGAACAGGCCGCTGGTGCTACCATGACTAGTAAAGAAAAACTGGACATTGCACGTCAGTTGGCTAAGCTTGGTGTTGATGTTATTGAGGCCGGTTTTCCTTTTGCCTCTGAAGCTGAGTTCGAGCTTGTAAAGTTGATAGCACAGGAAATTGGTAACCTTTAATGTTTAACCGTTCACATTTCTAATATTTACTTATTTGTAACATGTCGTCACGTGTTAGTTTCATTCTTTTTATGAACCAAACATGCATGCAAAGATATTTTTAGATATTTGGACGGCGAGTGAGATTTGAAACTAGGACCGTTTGCCTGATACAATATTAAAATATGTAACCATTTTATGTACAAGTTTAAACTGTTGATAGTAGCATATTTTTTACTTTTATTTAAGTATACTATATTCCAACAGGTAATAACGTAGACAAAGAAGGATACGTGCCGATGATATGTGCCTTAGCTAGGTCTAGTAAGAAGGATATTGAAAGAGCTTGGGATGCTTTAAAGTATGCAAAGAAACCAATGCTTCATAGTAAGAAAATATTTCAAGATCGAATTAGGTCAAAAGTGTAATCGTAAAAAGTAAAAGAGAGAATCTAAAGGTACTTATTTGTTCTGGTCTTTTCTTTTTTTAATATAAGCGGCCTTGAGATTATAGGAGGTTTGATATAGACCTCTACCATGTAAATTCTTATTTATTTGCTTTTTGTTTAGCTTTTAACCTTTTCCCTGTACTGAAATAGATTGTAATGGCCTTAAAATATCGTGGAGAGCAAGTACTAGGTGGTATCTATACTGGGATTAATACAAAGCATATATTCATGACGAGCAAAATGGTACTCTCATCTTAATCTTCTAGTTAGAGATATATTTTACCAGTTTTAAAGCTGCTTAATTTTTTGTGCCTTTCTGTTGACACAATTGTTGCTATGTAGGTAGAAGAGTACAGTGGGCTTAAGCTGCAGCCACATAAGGCCATTGTCGGAGCTAATGCATTTTCTCATGAGAGTGGCATCCATCAGGTTTTGCGTTATTTTTCTCTAAAAGTTTTACTTCTACATACACTAGATTTGTTGAAAGATTACTGAATTGGCGACCTTCTACACTAGGTTAAATTGCAATAAACATTTCATACCACTACCGGTTGATATAAAATAAATCCTTTCTCGTTAAGATAAGATGGGTAAAATGAAGAATTCAAAGTTGAATTATTTTCAATTATAGAAATGTATCATTCTTTTTGTAACAGACTAATAAGGAAATTGTGTCATCTAAATAACACATGAAGTATTTGGATTCAGCCCATTGCCCCTTCCTCTTTCATTATCGCCTTAATCAGGATTCTCTACTTCCATAGTATCATTCAGTTTTCATTCTTCCTTTTTAAATTTTTTTTTAATGTGGTTTAGGATGGAGTGTTAAAGAACAGAGATACATATGAATTTGTATCTCTTGAAGATGTTGGGTATCGTCGTGCTAATGAAAACGGTATTAGTCTGGGAAAGCTCAGGTATGATTTGATTTTCAGAGTGATCGATTTGTTATGTTGATGGTTTGATAGAGATTATTGTTTCAAATTCTTTGGTCTTTCCCCCATATTTTTGGATGAGTCAAAATAATTCGACTAATATATAGTCCTACCAATTTGGTGTCAACATATGTACGAATTGAATATAGTCATCAATCAACTATGTCCAACTATCCATACTGTAAGGTATACTCCCTTTACATTAAAAAATACAAGTGAACTGAAAAAAAAAAAGACATTTTTTAATTAAAGTGTGCTATCTCTAACCGTTTAAATTTTTAGATTAGATTATCATACAGTTCAAACACTTTAAAACTCGTACTATCCCCTAGAATTTCAGTACCTCCGTTGTATTGAATCAACCCCAACCCTTCATTTTTCTCATTTACATTAGGCACATTGATGTACCTCTTTCCTTTAAGGAATACATTTTGTAACATGGTAGAATATTTTGTGCAGTGGCCGCCATGCATTGAAAGCCAAAATGGCTGAGGTAAGATACATAATCTATAGTACGATATACTACAAATATTATAGTATATGGAAATGGATCAAATCATTTTATTTTTGTTACAGCTTGGATATGACTTTGATGGAAAAGAACTTGATGACCTCTTTCGTCGATTCAAGTCACTGGCTGAGAGGAAAAAGGTGATTACGTTGCTGATATTTCATAGTGCAACAGTCAAATTTGTGATCGCACCTTTTCGTTCCTAGTGTTTGTCCATATTTTTTGAGTTAATTTCAAATATGATCACTAATTTCTACTATAACAATAAAATTTAAATTTTTTTATTCGCATTAAAGTGACTGAACTAACAATTAAAAATATTTGAAAAATATATGAAAAATTACGGCCAAAGAAAAACTCTTTTGACTCTCGACATCCGAGCATCACCACATAGTAATAAATGAGAAAATTATTTTTTATCAAATTAAAGTAACTGAATTTTACTTATTATTCATAATAAAAGAAAATCACTAAACTATACGCACTATAGTGGCAAAACCTATCCATATTCAAGGTGACTTTAAGTACCGGTCTAGTAGGTAGATTTTTGTGATTTTACTGTTATAGTGGATAAAATTAAAGTCACTTTTTTTGATAAATTGGAAGAATAGCCTGACAGACATCTCACTTATTCGGCTTTGACATCCCGGTCCCCCTACTCCATATAATTTCAACCAAACACTTAAACTTGTATAAAACATTAGTCTTAAACACCTCTGATACTGTGTGTGTTGTTCACTCGTGCTGATATAAAGGACACATCAGATCCACCTCAGATATATTAATGCCACATCATTATCTATTTTTACAAAAAATATTTTTTTAATAAAAATATCAAACTCATCCCTTTCTTCTCCAAAAAAAAAAAACAAACCTTATTCCTCTCTCCACCATTCCATCTCTGCCTCTTCCACCCGTCACCGCCACTACCAAACACTGCACCCTTCCTCTTCCATGAGAAAACACTCAATCAAACCTACTTCATCTTTTATTTTTGTCCTAAACTTCTCCATTACTACAATCTATTCAACCACCCATGGTAGTCTTGTTGCCACCATCGCCAGCAACCACTCCAAAACCACCACTATATCTCCTCTTCTCTTCATATTCATGTCACTCTTTCAAAACCTAGACATTGAACGAGTTTAATAAAATCTATCCTTAAATTTTCTTTCTAGCCAAATACCCAAAGCAAAACCAAAAAAATTGAAAAAGAAAGAGAAGAAATTTTTACTCAAAATTCTTATTGACCCCTCCAGCAACGATAAAATTTATAAAACTAACAAAATCAAGCTTCGGCGTTTTCAACAACCGATGACGATCCAATTTCTGGCTTAAACACTATTTTCAAGCTTCAATGTCTCTTAATTCTCCGGCGTCTTCATTGTCTTCTTCAGTTATTTTGAGAAAAACAAAAATTAAATAACTTTGTTCCTTGACTAGCTGCTCTGCTAAACTCTATTAGTTTGGTCTTGTTATACTGCTTCTTTTTTTATTTTTATCATAGTCCAGTTGATTGCTAAAATTGTAAGAGAAATAATGTAATGCTGTTTGAGAAAACTCTACTTGAGAAACAAAAATTTAATATAGAGGGTGTGGAGCGTGTCAATTTCAATGGCGTTTTTAAGAGATTTGGGGGTAAGAAGAAGCGGCTGGGATAGAGAGGGGCGAGATAATGGCTAGCATTGTTTTTAATTTTTTTTTTCTTTTCATTTTTCTCTTTTATTATTTTCTAATCAAATTTTGTATAGTTACTCGCTTTTAGGAGCGTGCAATCACTTATTTTGTTTGACTCACAAAACAAAGGCTACATAAGTTTGGTCAATGGTTAGATGAGTTTAAAACTAATGTCTTATACAAGTTCAAGTGCCTGATTGAAACTATGTGGAGTAGGGTGATCGGAATGTCAAAGCCGAATAAGTCGAGGCAGTGGCGAAGCCAAGAAATTCAACAAGGGTATTCAAACCTTTGCCAGTGGGCTATGTAAGGGTGTTCAAAGCCTATTTTTAATCAATAACAAGTAATATTTTACCTTATACGGAGTATAATTTTCTGGCGAAGGGTAGTCAGTTGACCACCCTTGATTGCACGTAGCTTCGCCCCTGAGTCGAGGTGTCTCTTAGGCTAAAATAGCGTGATAAATTTTATAATAAAATTTATTTTATATGAGTAAAGTTAATAAAATTTATTTTATATGAGTAAAGTTAAGTAAATTATAATACTTAAAGAAAATTGAAAGCTTACATATGCAGAGGTCCGGTCCTCGACCCACTTATCTTGATCCCCCTCTTTCTTCTTCTTCACAATATGCGTCTCCTTGAATAGCTCATCATGACTCATTGGACGCCCATACTTCTTTTCCTGAAAATAAATTAATTTAGTTAATAAATAAAATAGATATACTTAGAAAAGTAAAATAATTTAAGCAATTACGTACCAATCTTCTTTTTATTGTCCCTAGGCTGATCGCACCTCTAGTGTGCAAGGAGCCTCCCTTCTCGGATGCGCGAGCTTTCTTTCCTTTTTCGCTCCTCTCTAAGAACTCTGCGGTAAGCCATTGCCTTTGCAAATCATTCCACAAATTCTCAAGTAACCAGCCAGGCCTCTTGTTCTTCTTTCTAGCATCCGAGAAAGCATCCGCCAATCTCTTACTAGCTTTGTGATGAAAATTTGCAGCCACTTCCGCGCTATAGCGGTCTTTCCATACACACTTGCTCTGTATTTTAAAATTTAATTATTAGATGGAAACATCATAAATATAAATTATTAAACTGTTTAAAAAAATATTTATACCTTAAATTGATTGAAAATTTGCTCTTTCAGTGAGAATGGACAATCAGTCCAAGTCGTATAAGGGCCATCATAAAGCTTTCTGATGGCATTAGTGATTATCTTCGTAGTCTTATTACCCGGCCTGAACCTACAATTTAATAATAAAAACACATTAATATCTTAGTAAAAATGTTACAAATCAATAGACGGAAAAATAATGAATAACACTTACCCATCACCCTTAGGGACTATGATGATCCTGCCATATCGATCATAATGCACTACCTCGTCATCACTATTCGAAGCATGTGTATCAGAGGCATGTGAAGACGGTGTAGGCGGGTCAGAGCTACTGCCTCGTAGGCGAAGGCCTGCAATAGATGGAGTCGATAATGAAGATGGTTGTGATCCCTGTGACTACAACATAGCTGGATGTGACCCAAGTGGATGTGATAATGCTGGCTGTGACCCGAGTGGCTGTGACATGGATGGATGCGATCCATGTGGCTGTGATATGTAGGGATGTGATCCATATGGATGTGATGTAGATGGCTGCGATGCAGATGGCTGTGAGGCAGCTGGACTGTATGTCGAACATATAGTCCTATGGCCCTGTGATGGAAGACCTGGTGTCTGAACGAAGGTGTATGATTCGTGATGCTGTGGAAACTCAGTATAGCCGTGTGGTGGAGGATAAGACATAGGCATCTCTGAAAAGGGTGGACAAGAGGGACTATTATTTTCTACCCTCCTCTTTCCCTTCCTACCCTTTTCTCGACCCTGAGAACTAGTAGGGTCATTGTTACCTTGACCCTTGCCTGCCATCTGTATGATATAATGCACATTTAGATTGAAACATATAAGAAACTAGCTATAAAACAAGAGTGCTTTAAAAAACCAACTTTTTAATCCTCATCGACGTATTGTTCCTCGTCCGAGAATTCTTCGTCCTCATTTGTTTGAGCTTCATCAGTTGATTCTTCGTCCTCATTTTCTTTAATTGTTACTTCATTTATATCACCTTCTTCCAATATGCATTCAGGATGTTCCAAATCATTTTCTAACTGATCGTCCACTATTTGGTGAATATTAGAAATATCATTTTGATATGCAATATTTAACACATTCTCGACTTCCACCCTACCTACATGCTTAGTTTTTATTACAACCCACCAATCGGACTTATTCC